TTATACAGAAATTGTGTAAGTGGGCCTAACTCCACATCTTAAGCCACACATTTTTTGTATAAACCTTTACTGAATATTCAACGCCTGCGTGCACCAACCTCTCTACGTTTGTTGCCACATATCTACCAATGTGTTTACACTNCTTCAAAATTTATCAATTATTTGTCATTACATAAAATTTATTAAAAAAAATAAAATATAAAACATACTCATGATAAAAATTACATTTTCAAAATAAAGACTAACTATTTCTATTATAAAAAAGTTAAATAAATGCATGAAGATAAATAAATATGTTAATTGATTTTATCAATCTATAAGTCAAGCAATATAATATTTTTTTCTTTCTTCTGAGTGCTTAATTCTACATATTATTTCAGTTAGTAGTATACAATAGTCTTCCTTCTATTTATATTTTATGTAAATACTTTCAATTTATAATAATCTCTGAATTAAATTTCAGCACATGTTTTTTAAAAATATTAATAATTAAAAATATATATCATAATTTAAACTATTTATTAAAAATTTAAAATATTTATTTATTGTAACTTTTCTAAATAAATTCATATTAGATATCATTTGTGACACTTCAAAATTAGTTTATTATTTATTATCACATAAAAATCTATTAAAATAATAAGAGAAAAATACAAATCATAGAAAACCACACAATAAAAAATCACACTTCACAAAAATATAATCACACTTCATACAAATATATAGACAAATTATACATTTTTAAAAAAAAATGAAATAAATACACGAGTAAAATATTAAATCACTCGTAAGATTCTCTATAAATAAAAATCAAATTAATCAACTTATTAGCATAATAATTTTTTTTATAGAAAATGTAAAAAACTTTTAACTTACAAAATTACAAGTGTGTACAGTGTCACCTTTTTTAAGACTAAAAAATCACGTAATACAAATTTTTTGACAAACTAAAACAAATTACTTTTCCATCAAAAATCTTGAAACCACTATTTTTAAGTGTGCTCCAAATTATAAATTATCCTATAAACTCATCATAATATGTTTGCACAACTAAAGAAAACAAAAAAGTTATTTACATATTTATTTCAATTTTCTCTAAAACTTCCAACACATATTGTCAATATTAATCTTAATCCAATTAACATATAAAAGTTATCATATAACTTCCGTAATTTTGAATATTGAAATTTTTTTACACACCAAAAAATAGACTATACTGTTCATGTTCACATGCTTCTTATTTATTTCCACATCCAACTCCTTATTTCTAACTATACTATATTTTATGCATTGAAACATATATATTTAATACAAATTTAGATATATAAAAATCACTTGCCATGTATAATATATCAGTAAATCACAAATTACAAAATATATTTATTCTGTTCTATTGTTACCAGAACGATTTGAACAAATATACAGAATAGTCCATTACCCGCTATGTTCTACCAATACAAAATCTTGGTAGAGACAAGTATCTCTCTGGCTTTAGTGATTGATGACGTTATTATATTATTATATATTTTAAATCAGTCTTTGAGATTTTCGATAGATTATTTTACGTTTCAATAAAGGCGGAGAAAAATCCAATAATGAATAGTATGAGTACGAGAGACTTAAATATCCATCAAAACAATTCTGATAATGTATTAAACATGTGATGATAGTGAATTTAAGTAAAATTTATTTTAAAAAAAATTGCTTAATGTTTCGGTAGATACTTTTAGGGACCGAGAGACTAACCTGCTGACGCGTCTGGGCCGCTCGCTCGCTTCCAAACTCCTCCTGNATTCAAAAGAACAGTGCAAGCATGCAAATGAGGTTTGACTTTATGTAACCTCATCTGCTCAAAAACTTGTATTGCATCATGTGTCATCTTTGACTTAGCATAATGTATGACAAGCCAGCTCAACACTTGAGAATTGACTTCTGGGTTTTCATGAGTCCTCACCAAAGTGCTCAAAACTGAAGGTGATGGAAGAAAATCCCTGTTCGCAATTTTTTCAAGCATATGATGGGCAGTTTTGAAATGCTTATGTTCAGTGAGGATGTGAATCATGACCCATGAACATTGCAAGGAATGGCTATAATTTGGGATGGAGTCGAGCCATTTGAAGAATGGGAAGGAATGAGAGAGCCCATAATCATAGAGTGAAAGCTGCAACAGAACCTGGTGAATGGTAGAAGAAGTGAAAGCAGAGGTACTCTTCACCTTCAACAGATTGCCCCAGTTACCCTTGATCACAATTGTGCACACACTATCAATAAATTGCTTATGACTCCCAATGAAAACCATGTCTGGCAATATGATCAGTTAGGCAGCCCATCATTTTCATTTCACAACCATACTTTGGTGCTACGCTTAGTTTTTTTCAATTTGTTTTTCTTGCTATGAGTTGCTCTTCTCATTTCTTGAAAACCCTGAGACGTAGAATCTGTCATTAAAATATTATCCAATAAGAAAGAACTAAACTAGTGTGAGAACGTTTATACTAAATTGAATTTTTAAGTATGTTGGTAAAATGTTCTAATTCATTCTGACATTAGTAGAAGTTTTAAATGTGTCGAGACTAGTTGATGGTCAGTTTAGACTCGGCAAATTGAGATAAAGCTCGTAAATGTTTGTAAACAAAGCTTCACAATGTTAGCTTTCAAATGACACCTCATCTCCTTTATCTAAGTCGGGGCATTAATCAAACACAGGGTGTGCATCTTATTCAGAAAGGTAAATCTCCTAAGAATATTTGCATTACATTAATATCTCAAGAAAACAAGCCATGGACCAATTAGCCACCAACCAAGCGAAAAATTGAAACAGCGAAATTTCAATAATACTTATTTAATGAACAATCCAAGGCACAGAAATAATTTGAATTGAAAAATGGGTAAATAAATAACGAACACTAGAATTCAAAAAGACAAGAAAGAAACCTCAAAAAACAGGACTTTGCTATTGTAAGCTGTGGCAGGAGTATGGCAGTGTAGTAGTCGGAGAGTGGCGCTGATACGGTGGGATGAACCGAGCAAGTAGGGGGTTGAGGAAAGCCTTCCTAGCTGGTGGCGGCGGCAGCGGCGGAGTGCGACGTAAGATAAGTTTGAAATATTTTGTTTGGGTTTGGGCCGGGTCATGTGATCCAACCCTTTATTTGATGGGTTGGGTCGAGTTTATAATCCGGAAATATGGAATTTTACTTGTCTTGGGTCGGGTCGGGTAATGATCACCCGATACTTCTTCCTACGAACAAAGTAGGTCACCCATAAAAGTCAACCAGAAGACTTAAGGATATCTAACAAATATTCTTTTATAATTGTATATTTGTTATAAGCATTATCAATTAATATTAAAAATATTAGTATAATTGTTATGATTGATATAATACTATAAGATACACTTTTAATAGTAATACAATAAGTAAAATAATGATAGCGACATATTATTACATAATTTTTATAGTTATAATTAGTGATAATAATAATAATCATTATTATAAAAAATAATATATAATACTATTTATGATAAATTAATTATAATAAAAATAAAAATATTTTTAATATTTATTTTATCATTATAATTTTTGTGGTTAATATATAATTATTCTTTTAAATATTACATTTGAAAAGAGATTTAATATTTTACTTGTTCTGTATAGTAATAGTAATAGATTGACAATGAACCAGGTATGTTTGTTATGCTGGTATGAAAAAATCAATGTAATAGAAATATTTAAGAACGTCTATAGTTTCAAACTTCTTGTTATCAAAATCAACATTTTTCAAAATCTAAAGTCTAAATATCCTATTAAATATATAAAAAAAAGTTAAACAACATTTAAGAAAAAAAGAAATNTGTCACTTGGATCGGACCATGTTTGTAGCTTATCTTTTTTCTTAAGAGCCAAGTCATATCTTATTGCTCACCAGTCACCACAAGGCTGGTGACCTGCTTGTCCCACTGCTCCTCAACCACCATTTCTCGAATGATTGTCCAATTCCAATCAATTCAACTCCAATACCACTTGTAAGGCCATTAATAGGAGTCCAATGTTCACCGATCCTTCCATTTTAAATGGTCCTGAGGTCCTCACCTTGTCCATTTCTATCAGATTGTTAGACTTCTTCACCCATGTTGCACTTCTGATTTCAACCACATCCAAAGGGAAAGATATTCCTTCTTGAAAGACTCTTGAAAATCAAAAGTTCCAGCCAAACTTTTCTTATATGATGAGACTTGATACTAGTGAACTATTGCAGGTTTCTAGTGTCATAAAATATTCTATTGATATGGGTCCCGTGGCTCTCCAACTAAGAAATAACAGCACACTTATTTGTACGACACTATTAAGCCATTTAAAGATGAAGTAGGATTTCTAACATTTAGGTAAATCCTAGGATTGCCTTTAAAACGTGGATGAATTTCTTCCTTAAATTTATTTAGGCGTGATCTAGGATGGCAGCATCATATCTGTGAAGATTTTGGTTTGATTGTTTGGAGTGTAGCACTCAAGACTTTAAAGAGGAAATATCTAAACTTGGACCTTTCACTAGATATGTAGACAGAGTGCAAGCTATTCTAATTTTTTTTTTTCCTTTTGCTAAATTACACTATCTTTCTTGTACCTTTTCTCCTCCCTCCCCCCACCCCCACTTCAATGGTAAAAACAGAGAAGGAAACTATCAATATTGCAGTTCATAAGATAAGCTAACATTAAAAAGAAATATATACGACATGCATTATCATAGCAAGAAAAAACTTTAGTTCCACGATAATCCAAATCAAAACGAAAATACCTGCTCAAGTTCCAGCTTAATCATGATGGCCTAATCCCATATATATGAAGGTTATGTGCTTCCTCCTAATAAGCTGAAAATGCAGGGAGGAAGAACTTAATGATGTTCTTCTGTGATATAACCTTTTAGAAGAAAACAGAAGTGATTGTTCCCAGTCCATAGAGTTGAGTTATATCTGTTATGAACATGATGCATAAATGGATTCTAAAACAAATAGTTTATGACGGTTAACATGCAAGGTTGCAAAGAGGTTGGCCTGCATCATATTTTCCCAAATCTCTGTTTTCCAAATTCCAATGAAAAGTGAAACAGAAGCAATGCATTGCCCCTCGCAAACAGGTCTATGAAGAATATTCTAGATGTGAGGGTTCCTTCATATCAGCATTTGCTGTATTTTATTCATTGAATTTCTCGACATCAAACCCCTATCCACCACATGATTCCAGAAGATCAGTGACACTTCATTTTCCCTAGCATCAGAAGTACTAAAGCATCTATACAGTTTGACTGTGATCATCAACCTTCTCCTTGTCATCTCTTCTAACACACCCAAGGAAGCACTTGCATTCCCTGCTTTCCAATAAGCATATGCAAGACTGGTATAGATAACACTGTCACCTGATATACCCTTTCCTTCCATTTGATTGAATAACTTTTCAGCACATTCAACCCTTTCTAACTTGCATAACCTTCTTATCAATGCCCTGTATACTGAAACATCTAGACAAAGACCTCTACTCAGAAACTCATTTGGTAGTGCTAAAACTGCATCCATATTGTCTTTCTTACAGTAGCAATCTACAATCCAAGTGTATGTACAATAACTGAGTGTAAATCCAGCATCAAGCATGCTGAACATTACCTCCTTTGCAGTTTCCACCTCATTTGTCTTGCAGAATCCATGAATCAGTGCCTTATATGTAAATGGATCGGGTTTTAGTCCAGATTCTAACATCTTGTTCTTAAATTTCAAAGCAGATTTCATATCTCCAATCTTGCAGTATGCATTAATAAGTGTGTTGCAAGTGATATTGTCAGCTTGAACTTTCCTTTCACTCATCTCAGTCAAGAGTTTGTTGGCGTCCTTTATCCTGCCATCTTGACAAAGCTTGCGCAAAACTGAATTATAAGTTACAACTCCAGGGTACAATCCCTTACACTCCATCAGTCCCAGAATTTTCAGAGATTCCTCCAGTTCATTTGTTTTACAGTAACCATCAATCAATGTAGTATATGTCACATGATTGGGAGTTGCATTTTTTATATCGCTAAACATCCTCATAGCTTCTCTCATCCTGCCTTCTTTGCAAAATCCATAAATGAGAGAGTTATAACTTACAATATCTAGGTTTATCCCCTCTCTTTCCATTCTGCTCTGGATAGATAAAGCCTCATAGTGCAGACCTTTCTTGCAGTATAATGATATCAAAGTATTATATGTGAAGATATCAGGAAGCATACCCTTTAAATCCAACTCATTTAATAACTGTTCTGCCCTTTCCACATCTCTTGCTTTTGAACAGGCATGGAATAAACAATTGTAAATGTACATATTGGGAACAACCCCAACTTGAACCATTCTCCTGTAAATTTTCCACACCATGTGAGTAACCCCGTCCTTTAACAAGGAATTCAAAAGAACAGTGCAAGCATGCAAATGAGGTTTGACTTTATGTAACCTCATCTGCTCAAAAACTTGTATTGCATCATGTGTCATCTTTGACTTAGCATAATGTATGACAAGCCAGCTCAACACTTGAGAATTGACTTCTGGGTTTTCATGAGTCCTCACCAAAGTGCTCAAAACTGAAGGTGATGGAAGAAAATCCCTGTTCGCAATTTTTTCAAGCATATGATGAGCAGTTTTGAAATGCTTATGTTCAGTGAGGATGTGAATCATGACCCATGAACATTGCAAGGAATGGCTATAATTTGGGATGGAGTCGAGCCATTTGAAGAATGGGAAGGAATGAGAGAGCCCATAATCATAGAGTGAAAGCTGCAACAGAACCTGGTGAATGGTAGAAGAAGTGAAAGCAGAGGTACTCTTCACCTTCAACAGATTGCCCCAGTTACCCTTGATCACAATTGTGCACACACTATCAATAAATTGCTTATGACTCCCAATGAAAACCATGTCTGGCAATATGATCAGTTAGGCAGCCCATCATTTTCATTTCACAACCATACTTTGGTGCTACGCTTAGTTTTTTTCAGTTTGTTTTTCTTGCTATGAGTTGCTCTTCTCATTTCTTGAAAACCCTGAGACGTAGAATCTGTCATTAAAATATTATCCAATAAGAAAGAACTAAACTAGTGTGAGAACGTTTATACTAAATTGAATTTTTAAGTATGTTGGTAAAATGTTCTAATTCATTCTGACATTAGTAGAAGTTTTAAATGTGTCGAGACTAGTTGATGGTCAGTTT